TGAACGATTGTCATTTTTGAAGTGTTTCGGCTTCCATCAGAAATGAGAGCATGTCTCCGGACCTATCTGAATCTTTGTTCACATCTCCTCCAGAGGTATTTGGGTAGGTGGAGAGGAATGGCAAAGAGCAGTCCAAACAACCTGCTGAGTGGGCTTTGGGAAGCCGGTCAAGCACTGCCGGCTCGAATGTTGGAGAAGTAATTGGAAAAGGAGGCAGGATGAGTTCTGAGCCAGCTCTGGGTATCTTCCAGGAATCCTTGATTTTTTTCATGGCACTGGATGAGAGCGTGTGCCGAGAGAACAAATCTTATGAAAGCAGAAAATAAGCTGATTGAGTATATTTGCTAGACAGGAGGAATTGTGGTTGGGCCCTGGAGCTAAGGAGCATGGAAAGAAATGCAAATTGAGAATAGGTAGTAGTAGGTGTTGTGGGTATGGCTGACCAGAAATGCAGGGCTAGGCTAAGACCAGGAGACTTGGATTCCAATCTGGACTCTGAAATCAGCTGGCTCTGTGTTTCCTTGGGTCAGGGGCCTTTCCTCTTGAGCATCTGTTTACTCCTTTCTCAGCATAAAAGTGCTACTGAATGAGAATTCAAAGAACCCTTGAGGTGATATTTGCTAGTGGAATAGCAAAGAAAAAAATTCACAGTAGTCCTAGGGCGTTATTTAGGGGTAAGAAATAATTTCAAAGGAAATGCTTTCTAAATGAGTTCTTTGATCTTATTTGGTGAGAGGTCCCTGGGATGACAAATTTTCTCAGATATTGTGGCTTTTTTATTGGTAGGATGAGGCAAGGCACCTCTACCCCTCATGGTAGCAGACTCTAGCCATAGAAAAAATATCCAATCTGTTAGTGTCCTTGGTGCTACAAGTTTGAAAAAAAATTACGTCGTTGGCGTTACCGGTTCTGTTTTTAATTCCTTTCCTTAAAAAAAAAATGCTTTTTAAATTCCAGATATTGCTGTGATCCAAGGTAGCCCTAATTTAACTGTCACAGAGATGAATTATTCAGATAGGGCCCCTGACAGACATCAGCTTCTCTGAAGGAGGGGAACTCGTGAACCTTTTCCCAGAAACTGACATGTAGGGACCAAGTCCTTCGAAGGATTCCCTAACAGGACCTGCAGTTATATCTACATCCATTATTCTATTTCCCTTATGGAAGTCTTTGGCCAATACATAATATAAATTATGCCCTCCTCACTCAGCTCCAGAAGTCATTCAGGACCTCCTTATTCTGAAGGTCAAAATTTTCTTCATTGTGGCTAACCTCATGCCAGTGTCGTTTCTTGCCAGATCTTTGAAGGGAAAAAAGGAAAATTCTAAAGTCTGTGTGGCAGCCAGCCTCCAAGATGGCCTCCAGAACAGTCCCCAGAGATCCCTACCTCTTGGTATTCACACACTTGTGTTGTTGTTGTTGTTGTTTGTGATGAATAGCTTATAACAGAAGCAGGGGGGGAAGTTAGCTACCATATGGTGAGGTCACACAGGCAGCCTACAGCTAGGCCCACATGACGAGTCGGCAGCAACAGCCATTGAAAAACTGAGACCTGACAATAACCTCAGATTAAATAAGCTGGAAGGTGGATCCTCTCTGCACTTGAGCCCTCAGATGAGACTGCAGCCCTGGCTGACAGCTTGACTTCAATCTCATGACAGACCCTGAGCCTGCAACCAGCTAGCTAAGCCACTCCCTGATTCCCAGCACTCAGAAACTCCTTGAAATAATACGTGTTTGTTGTTGTAAGGTACTAAGTTTGGGTAATTTGTTATACAGTAATAGATAACTAACGCACTCTGTGTTTTGTTTTTGATTTTTGTGTGGCGATAGAGTCAGAAAGACATTTGCTATGTGGAATGACAAATCGATATTTGTCTATCTTGTGCCAGGCTCTGTTCTAGGTCCCTAGATCCCCAAATTTATTCGATAATAAGAATCGCCTGGGGTGCTGGTTGAACATTCAGATTTCCAGGCCCCTTCACTGGGTTTGGGGTGGGACCAAGGAATCAATGCATTTAACTAGTACACCGGATAATTCTTATTATCAGGCAAGTTTGAGAAATATTGCAGAAGAGAGTTAAACAATGAATGAGACATAGCTTTTCCTCAGGCAACAGTGTAAGATAGACAGCAAACTGGTACACAAAGGTGCATTTAAAGAGAGGCACCAAGATGGGAAAAGCATTGGGAAAAGCATTGAGAGAATCGAGGAATACTTCTTGGAAGAAAAGACACGTGAGCTAGGTCTCAAAGCTTGGTTAACATCTCCTGGAGCAAGATATGGAAAGAATCACAGAATGATGGTCACAGTTGGTATTTATCAGGTGCCTGCTAAGCACCAGGCATTGTGCCAAGCACTTTACCTGCCTTACCTTATTTAATCCTCACAACAATTTTATGCAGTAGGAGTTATTGTCATCTGTAATTTACAAATGGAAAAGCCAGGCTTTGGTTACCAGGTTGCCCAAGGTCACACAGCTCCTTTGTGTAGAGCTAGGCGGAAAGGAGGCAGCTGACTCCATATGCAATGTTCTTAACCACTATTGTGTTTCACATCCCAGGGGACGTGAGACTCAGAGATGTGAAAGGGCTGTGACATTTTTGCAAATGACAAAAGTTTTGTGCAAATAATAGAACAAGATGTCCAGGTAGTGATTTGGGCCACGGGAAGATATTATATGAAGAGTTAGAACCTGGTGATGACTTCCTAGTACAAGTTTAATTAATTCATTTTTTAAATGAGGAAAGGGAACCCTAGAAAAATTTATGCTACATTCCTAAAGCCACACAGTTGATAGTGACAAAGCAGACTAAATGTCCAGATCCTAAGCAGCCCCTTTCCATTATGGACAATTAGAGGCCAAACTGGGATTGGCCTTAAATGCCTTGCTATTCTAGCTCATTTTAACCATTTTAAGTGTATGATTCAATGACATTAATGCATTCATAATTACCACTAACCATTTCTAGAACATTTTTATCATCCCAAACAGAAATTCTGTATCTATTAAATGATATCTCTCCTCTTTATTCCTCCTCTCCTGGTAAACACTATTCTACTTTCTGACTCTATGAATTTGCCTGTTCTAGTTACCTCATATATATGGAATCATATAATATTTGTCCTTTTGTGCCTGGCTTATTTTACTTAATGTGATGCTTTCAAGATTCACCCATACTGGACCATGTATCAATATTTTACTACAATTTTTTTATTGTCATAAAATACACATAGTATTTGCAATCTTAATCATTTTAAGAGTACAGTTCAGTGAATTAAGTACATTCACACTGTCATGAAGCCATCACCATCGTTCATCTCTAGAACTCTTTCGCATCTTGCAAAACTGAAACTTGGTACCCACTAAACAATAACTCTCCCTTTCCTTATCCCTTCAGCCCCCGGCAACTGACATTCTACTTTCTGTCTCTATGATTTTGACTACTCTGGTACCTCATATAAGTGGAATTATACAATATTGTCTTTTCGTGACTGGCTTATTTAATTTAGTATAAGGTCCTCAAGGGTCATCCATATTGTAGCATATGTCAGAGTTTTCTTCTTTTTTAAGGGTGAATAATAGTCCATTGCATGCGTACACCATATTTTGTTTATCTATTTATCTCTTACTAGATGCTTATGTTGCTTCTATCTTTTGGCTATTGTGAATAATGCTGCTATGAATGTGGGTGTACAAATACTTCTTTGAGTCACTGTTTTTAATTATTTTGGCTATATATTCAGAAAGGAAATTCCTGGATCATATGGTAATTCTATTTTTTAATTTTTTGAGAACATGCCATACTGTTTTCTTAGTGGCTGTATCATTTACATTCCCACCAACAGTGAACGAGAGCTTCCATTTCTCCACATCCTCACCAACATTCGTTATACTTTTTTCCCTTTTTTAAGGATGAGAAATATTCTAATGTATATATGCTACATTTAAAAAAATCTTTTCATCAATCAGTGGACATTTGGGATGTTTCCACCTTTTGGCTCTTTTGAATAATGCTTCTGTGAACACTGGTGCACAAGTAGTTTAGTCTCTGCAGTCAGTTTTTTTGTTTGTTTGTTTTTTTGAAATCGCAGGGCGATTGTAAATTTAACTTCTTGAGAAATCTATAGACTTGAAAGAGATCTGCGCTCTGTAAGTTAGCTGTGTTCGTCCCAGCCTTCTGCACAGATACCCGCTGGTGGGTGGGGGCTCCTCCCTCCTTCTGGCATCCACGCCACCCACTTCCAGCACTCTATTGCTTTCGAGCAAGTAGTTCTCTAAGCCTCTTTTACACAGAGGTACAAGCGTCTGAAATGAAGCTGACCCCGGTGTCCACCTGGCCTCGCAGGAGGGAACGCAGGTTGAGTGGGTCCCAGCGTGTCCTGCGAAGACGGGGATGTGGGCAGGAGCCCAGGCTCCTCCCGGTCCTTTGAAATCTCACCAGCGAAGCGGGCCGTATCCGCCCACTCTGGCGGTGGCTCTGGGGCTGACCAGGTGAGCCGGCTGAGAGGTCCCCAGCCCGGGGGCAGGCGAAGCCCTGCCGCATGGGCACCTCTAGCGCGGAGTCGGCGCTGAGCCCTGCTCCGAGCGCCGGCGCCCTGGTTCCCGCCCGAGGCGGCCGTTCTGGAGCCTGAGTTTGGGGAATGCTCGCCGCCCGCCTGGCACGGCTCCCTTCGGCGTTTCCGAGCGTGGAGCTGCAGCCTGTGTGTCGCGAAAACTCCGGCCCCGGGACAATTTCGGGGTCCCCAGCCGCGCTTGTGCCAGGGCGACCCCGAAGTGTCCCCGCCTCGAGCCCGGACCCCGAGCACGCCTTCCTGAACCAGCCGCCTGTGCCCTGGGCGCCCCGCGGCC